ACATCCTAACACGAGCGACACATCTCACTGCTAGCTATGAAATGCCTTGACTGGCGACACCACGACCGCAAAGCTGCCAGCTATGACGTCATTGTGACGTGTCAGGTTAGGAGCATGGCAACGTTTGGCGCTCGACTGCTTGTACTTCTCAACAACTCTATATGGAAATATTTCTAATCGTCCCATGTTAGCCCTCCAGTTTTATCAGATGAAAGCAGCATATTACAACACATTTCGTGTTACCTGTGGCATGACATGGACGACAATTGTATTATAAGCATATCGGATGCTTCCCTTGAAAGAGTTCCTTCCGTTCCCCCAACCCTAAACCTAACCTAACTTATGGACTTTTAGTCATTTTTGTGATTTCTATAGTAATTGTTGTGTTAGGTTTTGTTAATAATTTTAGTATATATTGATTCATAAATATTATTCGGGATGGGGGAAAGGGAGGAACTGTTACCGCCTCCTTAAATTTTAGTAATTCACCTATTGTTTGTATCACAAAACTCCCAATATTTGTTTACAAAAATATATATGCCCTCTTTGAAAACACGTCATATGTGGATATCATTAGACGTCAGATGCTTAGATGTAAATAGCTGCGATCATTCTGTGAACGTACTCACATTGAGCTTATAAATGAAAGACAAACTGTGTTTTTCTGAGCCTGTTGTGCTAAGTGTAGACAGGTATTCCCCAACTCAGTCTAGATGTGAAATAGATACCGAGATATTTATGTTCAGATACAGTGTCCATAAGTCGTCCGCCATGGTAGTATGGGAGACCATTGTATGTATCTGGAAAGTTGGGGTCGATCAAGTCGGGTATTATAGTTTGTGGCTATGTAAGGACTGACTTCAACTGGTGTGAGCATTATAATATTATGTTCTGTTGTAGTTAGAATATATGAATGAATTGTTTATACAGTCGAGCACCTTTGTGTCGAACACTGATAACCCGATATCTCGGTTGTGTCGATATAACATTTCGGTCCCAACAAAATCCTTCATATTTCATCATTATTCAAGCTCTTTTACCTTGATACGGATGTCTCGATATTTCGGATCTCTAGATATAATTTCATGGTCCCAACAATAAAATTACCCTTTTAACTCGATATTAATAAGAAACTCGGTATTCACCTACCTTTCATGGGCAAGTATCCCTCTGAACTGAGGTTGTTTCTACATGTTTACGGCATAAATCAAAGAGATGCGGTAGTGTAGAGTAATTAGGGCTAATTGAGTTGAAGGTGTCACTTGATTAATTAGGATTAATTAAGAAGGAATTAATTAGGAAGTACTCACTGTTACGACTAAACACTACTGATAACGGATTATAGTTTCCAATCAAAACATGCTGAGAAGCAATGAGGGGATTGTGCTATCACGTGACTAGCATGTGATTGTTGAGTTGTTTCTAACCAGTGGACTGAGAAATACGGATTAGGAGTCAATGACAGCGACAGTGACATTGATATTGACGAACCAGCCCCACCCTTGCCAACCGTTCTCCAAGCCACAGAGACCCTGGGTGCGTTCACAAGATTTGTGGATTCGAGAGATGGAGGGCAACTGTTACAAGCACTTGTCATGTATCGAGAGTGATTATCTACTATCGCTTTCATGCAACCACCAAATACATTGAGATTTAATGACATTTCACCTTATAATATCACCGTATCTCAGATTCAATATATTTCTTATAATTAGTGAGGTTGATAATATGATGGAATTGTAATGTATATGAAATGGGTTTTTAATAATGTAACTAAGATGGTTTACCGACGTAATATAATAATCAGTCAGCAGATAACGTGTAATGTGATAGTGTTGTGAATTAAGTGTCGGTAAAACAGCCCTGTAGACAGATCATGTGTGTTAAATATATGTGTCCATATAGTGTATGTGTAAAGTCACCAAGTACATGGTGTGCTTTCTATATCCAGTGTCCGGGATCGATACACTCTGTAAGATCCGCCGATCGAGAGGGATCGACCCTGACATGGCGTCCGTGAATCTTGACTCTTGACATCTGAGTATTTGGGTAGAGGACATGCCACCTGTCAATCTGGACTTTTTTGACATCTGAGTGTTTGGGGAGAGTGACATGCCATCCGTGAATCTGGACTCTTGACATCTGATTGTTTAGGAGTGACATGCCACCCGTGAATCTCGACTTTTGACATCTGATTGTTTTCTGAGGAGAGTGACATGCCGCCCGTGAATCTGGACTTTTGACATCTGAGTGTTTAGGGAGAGTGACATGCCGCCCGTCAATCTGGACTCTTGACATCTGATTGTTTAGGGAGAGTGACATGCCCCCGTGAATCTGGACTCTTGACATCTCAGTGTCTGGAGAGAGTGACATGCCGCTCGTGAATCTGGACTCTTGACATCTCAGTGTTTGGAGAGAGTGACATGCCGCCCGTGAATCTGGACTTTTGACATCTGAGTATTAGGGGAGAGTGACATGTATATATTATATCATATGAACTGTTGTGTGTTAATTTAGAAAGACCTTTGTAATGGTGTTACATTTGGAGCGTTGATGTGAGTGTATGTGAATGGTGAGGTATGAGGTACGTACTTGGCTAAGTAGGGGAAAGAGAGTGAGTGTGTTTGATGAGTGAGAATGAAGTTAGGAGTGACAGCATATATGAATCATTGTGATCAAGGCATATTTAGTTAATAGATTATATTAACTTTTAATTTTGGGGGATGTATTTACTCTAGCATGTGACACTCTGTAATCAGGCAGTCTGTAATGTGTATAAAACATTACTAGTGAAGTCATTTATATACTAAAAACCCAATTTGCAGTCTTGCTCTGCCTGAATCCCTCGGGTAACCTCCTGCCAGTCTTGGAGAACTACTTGGTGTGGTGTCAATCATGAAAGGGCAATCCAAAACGAGGCTCTATCAGGGCATTCCACAAATATTGGCACTTAGACAAGCAAAGAAATAATCTGGTGCAGGGTTTCACTCATCCGAAGTTTCTGCAACACTGAGACTGATTTCCTTTATCAGGTCATAATGACACAAACATAAAACGTGCTGTGTTCAGTTGACTGGGGCTGTGCTGGACAGATCTAGGATGAAGTCTCTGGCCTGACAACACCGGGTCGAGTCTTCATGACAAATGGGGATTGGGCGATTTCATTCAAAGCAAGTTAAAATACTGGGAATAGGGTAATATTTTCGTCGTGGAAGTGGTACTGTGGCGTAACGAAACCAGTTCGAGTCTAATCTGATGTCCACTTCCTAATTGAATCAGTAAGTTCACCCAGAAATCTAAAGGTACGGGATAGATTCAGTGTGAACGCAGCATAGTTGAAAGTCAAAATTCAAAGGAAGTACACTTACAACATCAGCGTAAAATATTTGAATTAGTAGCAGTGATTCAGCTTGCTTAGTGAATGAGTTTAGATAAACCTTCTGATATACTGATTAACACTCTTCCATAAATTATTGAATTTCTTGCTTTTCATACATCAAAGCGTCGCTTGAATTTTTCTACTGATATTTCAATATAGTAATGAAAACATACTGGATCATAAAGGTCTAACATTATGCCAAGATATTTGTACCTCGACATTGTACCAAAGGGTGGGAAAAAATCATCCTGTTTTAGAAACTGACTTTCTAAATTCAGTTTTTAGCCAGTAAATCTAGTTTGGTGAACATAGAATACAAGGGTTTCCTGACTGATTTATTAGTTTTTTAACATAGGTGTAGAGTCATCAGCAAAATAAACCCCTTCTCATTCTTTCCAGTAAACAGTAAGCCATATATATTCAGGTTGTTTCTAAATTTACTATTTATTACTTCAGCACAGATAAAACAATATACATGGGCTAACTAGGGTAACCTTGCCTTGTTCCTACTTGTCTACAGGACCAAAATTAACGTCCGGTGGTAACTGGAAACACAGTTACAACAGGTGTCTAAAGGACCCAAGTTGACACGCCCAACATTGGAGGCATGGGCTCAAGAAGTGACAAATGTCCCCCATGGGTACCAGAAGAACAATAAGTGACAAATGCCTCAGATGAGAGCCAAGGGGAGAAGAAGTGACAAATGTGCCACATGGTGACCAGGAGAACAATAAGTGGCAAATGAAGAGGAGCACATGTTCATGGCTAAATAATTACTTATTGCCACAGATGCGACGTTTCGGTACAGTTCCTGTCCCCGCTATCAAGTAAATGGTACATGCGACAAGGAGTACAACAGACACATGGGAACCTACAAATCATATGTCCATATACATTATAAGTCCTGTATTGGCATCACCTGTTAACCCAACGGTTACATGCCTTGTAAGTCCTTGGTTGGCTGCATTTTGACATGTCCAATAAACTCTGTGCACGACATGCACCACTGGCATGTCCTGTTAACCTTATGTTCAAATGCACAATAAAATGTACGTTGTACGTATATACAATACCCAATGCCCTATATGAACACATATCCAATAAAATAGATGTCCAATCATCATCATGTTTACATGCGCAATAAACCTTATGCTGACATGCCATGTGAACCCTATGCTGACATGCCATTGAACCCTATGAGGACATGTCATGAACCCTATGCTGACATGTCATGTGAACCCTATGCTGACATGTCATGTGAACCCTATGCTGACATGTCATGTGAACCCTATGCTGACATGTCATGTGAACCCTATGCTGACATGTCATGTGAACCCTATGTTTGTATGTGCTGTAATCATATGGCCTTAGTGATCACAAATTTTATTGGTCAATAAGCGTTTGAAATATGGGTAGTTCGGAAATGAAAGGTTTCCACTAAAAACACAGAAAGTTTACCTCCAACATATTGTTTCAAAAGCAGAAGACACATACCTATGCAGGATGATTGTAAAACAATTGGCTAAATTGTAATGAAATGATAACGTTAAACGTATATATTTGGGTTGGAATATCAAGATAGAATTGTAACCAAGCGAATAATCTCTGCTTAACGTCTCACCTGCAGTAGTTCCAGGATACGTCGTGGTCGATGTCGTGAGTGACACCTCCGACAATGACGATGTTGACATCGAACTCTCATTACCATCAGTCTCTTTAGCCTCATCCCTCACCACACAACAACTCAAATTCAGTGTCATCAAGTCCTTGGTAAGACCTGTGATCTGTTGTTTTGTAGCAAAAATATCTTGATTGGTCGAATTCAGTTCAGATATCAGCATCCTGGCATCACGCAGATCAGCTGCCGTCTTATTCATGTCGTCGCGTAGTTGTCCAAGACACTCGCTGTACGTGTCCCTTTCTTGTCGAACACGTCTCAGCTCTTGAGTTATTACTCTCAGGTGTGACTGTGTGTCTTGTAAACTGGAATTCAGGCTGTCAACTTCAGCTAACGCCAGTTCCATCTGTATAGCCAGTTCCATCCTCTTGGTCTCAGCTTGAGCAGTTTCAAATTTCGATGTTTTAATCTCCTTCTCCATCACTGCCACTCGATCAGCCAAGGTTGGACCACTGCGAGCAGCCTGTACGTCGCTGACAGCTAGCACCACAAAAATCAGGAAAACAAGTGTTGAGATCTCCATTGTTCTAGTGAACTTCGCAGCACGCAGCTAGGAATACGACTACCTCGCCACCGGGTAAACGGCTTTAATATAGCCCGACTCAAGTGTTTGGTACAATGCCAGCTCGTGGAACCACACGTTACACCAGTAGTGTGCGTACACGTGGCGTGATAGCAACCGACATGGCGGATAACTACATGAGATGGATATGCAGTGCCATGTACCCAGCAATGTACACTGCTCGGTGTATTGTCACTGTTAACGTAACGTCACATATATTGTAACACTTGTTATAGTTACAGATTCTAGTACTTTTGTTGAGTTGTGTCGACAGATGGGTACACAGAGTGTATTGCTAGCTTTCGGTCGTGGGAGTCGTGATACTTTTCACTTATCAGAGGGGTGCACACGTTCCAAGGCCTAGGGTACCAATTGTACGACTTTCAATCTTGAGGAAGCCGCGATAGCTGATTGGGTTAGAGGGCTGACTATGTGTACTGGCGACTAGGTGCCTGACTGAATGGGGTCAATCCAACAAAATAGATATGCGAGTATGTTCCTGTAGATGAACCCCAAAATAAAACATCTCTTACTTTTACTCTATAATACATACCAGTGTCCATTGTGTATTACTGTAAAGGATACACATTACATGCATTACATTACAAGGGGCTGTAGGGTAGCCTAATGGTTAAACCTTCTACTCTACTGTACAGGATATGCATTCCCTGCATTACATTACAGGGGGCTGTAGGGTAGCCCAATGGTTAAACCTTCTACTCTACTGTACAGGATATGCATTCCCTGCATTACATTACAGGGGGCTGTAGGGTAGCCCAATGGTTAAACCTTCTACTCTACTGTACAGGATATACATTACATGTATTACATTACAAGGGGCTGTAGGGCAGCATAATGGTTAACCTTCTACTCTACTGTACAGGATATACATTACATGCATTACATTACAAGGGGCTGTAGGGTAGCATAATGGTTAACCTTCTACTCTACTGTACAGGATATACATTACATGTATTACAGTACAGGGGGCTGTAGGGTAGCCTAATGGTTAAAGCTTCTACTCTACTGTACAGGATATACATTACATGTATTACAGTACAGGGGGCTGTAGGGTAGCCTAATGGTTAAAGCTTCTACTCTACTGTACAGGATATACATTACATGCATTACATTACATGGGGCTGTAGGGTAGCATAATGGTTAACCTTCTACTCTACTGTACAGGATATACATTCCATGTATTACATTACAGGGGGCTGTAGGGTAGCATAATGGTTAAACCTTCTACTCTACTGTACAGGATATACATTACATGTATTACATTACAGGGGGCTGTAGGGTAGCATAATGGCTAAATCTTCTACTCTACTGTACAGGATATACATTACATGTATTACATTACAGGGGGCTGTAGGGTAGCATAATGGTTAAACCTTCTACTCTACTGTACAGGATAAACATTACATATATTACATTACAGGGGGCTGTAGGGTAGCATAATGGCTAAATCGTCTACTCTACTGTACAGGATATACATTACATGTATTACATTACATGGGGCTGTAGGGTAACATAATGGTTAACCTTCTACTCTACTGTACAGGATATACATTCCATGGATTACATTACAGGGGACAGTAGGGTAGCCTAATGGCTAAACCTTCTAACTGTACAGCATTAAAATTACCTTCTACTCTAATGGCTAAACCTTCTACTGTACAGGATATACATTCCATGCATTACATTACATGGGGCTGTAGGGTAGCCTAATGGCTAAACCTTCTACTCTACTGTACAGGATATACATTCCATGCATTACATTACAGGTGGCTGTAGGGTAGCATAATGGTTAAACCTTCTACTCTACTGTACAGGATGTACATTCCATGGATTACATTACAGTTGAGTTGAGTTGGGCTTTACGTCACATCGGCATTATTCCAGCATTATAGTGACGAGAACAAGTCTGCATTAATATACATTGTAAGTACAAAGTGGTTTCGTTTCAAAGACATACATTCATTACGTTGTCATTTTAGAACAGAGAATGTCATAGCACTAGATTGAAAAGCAGGTACATTCGTTATTGACATTACACATTTACATTTTATGATATAGATCGACTTCCCTCAGGTAGTTTAGTATCAGATGGGCGCTCACGCTGGAGAACAGATCTTTCAGATTGGTTGCGTGATAATGCGAGTCCCTTGCAGATGTAAAATCCACACAGTCAAGCAGAATATGCTTGACGGTGAGAGCCTCATCGCAGGAGAGACATATGGGGGGTCCATCTCCATCTGTTTTTAGCAGATAGTCATGTGTAAACCGACTGTGGCCAATACATCGTCGGAAAATCACTTCATCACGTCTTGACTGGCAACCCAAGTAGGTATAACCGATTGTTGGCTTCAATTCATGGAGTTTGTTTCTTCCTACTTGAGTGTCCCACCTTTTTTGCATCAAGTCCCGAGTATAGCTTTTGATAGTGGGTTTGAAATCACTGTACGGGATTAGCAGTGGAGATAGGGGCTTTTCAAGAACTGCTTTTGCTGCAGCATCGGCCTTAGTGTTACCTGCTATGCCGACGTGACCCGGCAACCAGCAGAGGATGATGTCATATTGGCTAGTAGAAAGGTCGTTGTACAGTTCTAATATGTCCAGGATGATTGGGTGACTTGAAGTCACGTTTAGAAGTGCTTGAAGGCAGGATAATGAATCTGTAAATACGATGAAGTTTTTGGACTGATTTTGCTGTTGAATGTAGGTCAGAGCTGAGAAGATAGCTTTGGCTTCAGCGGTGAAAATGGAACTGTTGTCGGGGATCCTAGATGAGACAGTCTTGGCTCCAATGACTGTAGCGCTGGCAACCTTGCCATCGTCCTTGGATCCGTCTGTGAAGATGGATCTGTGAGTGTTATACTTCGAACGTAACTGGTTGTATTCCTGTTGGAACACCAAGGGATTTGTTTCAGACTTTTTGAGTTTGGTGAGGGTAAGATCGACTTGTGGTTTCACCATTTGCCATGGTGGTGAGGACAGAAGTTGGTAAGGCGCAATAATGTTGAGATCAATTTTAGCTGCAGATATGTGTGGTTTGATCCTGATTCCAAGTGGTGGAACCAGGCTTGGCAGTTTACGAAATAAGTTTTCGTAGAGCGGGTTGAAAACACAATTGTATGCTGGATTGGACTCATTTGAACGTAATTTAGTGATATACTGCAGTGAGAGTTTAATGCGGCGTTTTTCAAGGGAAGGTTCATTGGCCTCCGCATATAGACTGTCTACTGGAGAGGTCCTAAAAGCTCCCAGGCAGAGCCTTAGTCCTTGGTGGTGGATAGAGTCTAATATTTCTAAATTGCTTTTGCAGGCTCCACCGTAGACAATGGAGCCATAATCTAGTTTACTGCGGACTAATGATCTGTACAGGTGAAGGAGGGTGGTCTGATCCCCTCCCCACTCTGTATTTGAAACTACTTTTAACAAGTCTAAAGCCTTCAGGCACTTTGTTTTCAAATATTTTATGTGTGGTAAGAATCTCAGGTGGCGGTCGAATATGAGTCCAAGGAATTTGGCCTCTTCTACTACTTTGATGGGAGTACCATCTAAAGTTAGGTCTGGATCCTTGTGTGGTTTGTATTTACGACAAAAGTGAATATAATTCGTTTTGGATTTTGAAAACTTAAAACCATTTTCATTGGCCCATTTTTGGATTTTGTTAAGGCAGAGTTGTAGCTGCCTTTCTATTGCGTGCATGTTCTTACCACGACATGAAATATTGAAGTCATCCACGAAAAGGGACCCATCAACTGTTCAGAACGTTAGTGAGGCTGTTAATTTTGATGCTAAAAAGTGTGACAGACAGGATGCTGCCTTGGGGGATGCCCTGATCTTGGTGGAAGTAGTCAGACAGTGTGGAACCCACCCGAACTTGGAATTGTCTGTTATTTAGAAACCGAGATATGAATTGAGGTAGTCTACCCCTCAATCCAAACTCGTGTAAATCTTTTAGGATACCATGTTTCCATGTTGTATCATATGCTTTTTCTAAGTCAAAAAAGATAGATACTGCATGTTGTTTGTTGACAATGGAGTTTTTGATGAATGCTTCCAGACGCACCAGATGGTCAATGGTACTTCGGTTTTTTCGGAAACCACATTGGAGATCACTGAGGAGGTTATTGGTCTCCAAGTACCAGATTAATCGATTGTTGACCATGCGCTCCATGGTTTTGCAAACGCAGCTAGTTAGTGATAGAGTACGGTAGTTTGAGGGATCAGTATGATCGCGACCGGGTTTTGGTATAGGGATGATGATGGCATTGTGCCACGAAGGGGTGAAGTGTCCGGATGTCCAGATGTCATCAAATATATTTAGGAGTGTTTCCAAGCCTATGTCAGGGAGGTGTTTCAGAAGCTGATAATTAATTTCATCAGTTCCTGCCGCAGTGTCGTGAGCCTGTCCTAGGGCAGTACGTAATTCATGGAGGGAAAACGTTTCGTTGTCATCTTCCCCATTATCAGAGTTAAAATTGACTGGTTTCTTTTCTTGTTTGGTTTGATATTTCTGGAACTGAGGGTTATAATTTGATGAGGAGGAGTGGTTTGCCAAAGTTTCGCCAAGTTTGTTTGCAATTTCAGATTTATTTGTTAGAAGGGAGTCGCAAACTTTCAGGTGGTGAACTCCTGATTTTGACCCTTTGCCCTTGATCTTTTGAATCATGTTCCACACCTTGGACATGGGTGTGCGGGAGTTGATTTTAGACACATATGTCCTCCATGAGCGGCGTTTAGTTTGTTTGAAGGTACGTTTTGCCCTGGCATTTGTCATTTTAACAGCATTCAGGTTATGCACTGTAGGATGTTGTTGGAAATATTTTTTCGCCTTCTTCCTATTTTTCCTAGCTTGTTTGCAGTTTGTATCAAACCATGGTTTGCGTATGTGCGGGTTTGCAGAGGACTTAGGAATACTTTTGTCTCCGATGACATTTAGGACGTCTGAAAATAGTTCCATGGGGTCAGGAACATTCCTGAAGTTGTCCGGCTTAAGTTTTTCT